CCAAGCTAAGGTACCGACGGAGGTGTTGGTACCTACACATCGCACCAAGCACTTCCAGCCGGAGGACAACGAGACCAACCTACGGGCGGAGCTCCATTTCATTGAGGAACGGAGGGACCTAGCGGCTCGTCGCATGGAAGAATATCACAGGGCCACCCAGAGATACTTCAACAAGGCCGTGAAATTCCGCGAAATAGAGGCCGGGGACCTCGTACTCAGGAAAAGAGAGAAGAGTAAGCCGCTCGAAGGCGGCAAAATGGCGAAGAACTGGGAAGGACCTTACCGGGTCATCAAAAGATACAACCAGGGGACGTTCCTCCTCCACACCCTGGAGGGGAACCATGCCGGGATGTGGAACGTAGAGCACCTAAAGAAGTTCTACCAATAGTTAGAAGATAATGTTCCTGTTTTTTATTTCCGCTCCCATGTAATGTGACCGGACGTCGTCAATAATAAAGCCCCCTGTTGTTCGTCACTTCTGTCCTTGCCAACGGCCATTAAAGAAGGGAATCTCGATGCAGATAAACCTGTTCCTCCTTGTGATGTCTGCAGATACCGAACGTCTCCTCGAAGTAGGGACGCCGGTAGGACCAAGGACCAAGGACGAACGAAGCACCAGGGAATCTCGATGCAGATAAACCTGTTCCTCCTTGTGATGTCTGCGGATACCGAACGTCTCCTCGAAGTAGGGACGCCGGTAGGACCAAGGACCAAGGACGAACGAAGCACCAGGGAATCTCGATGCAGATAAACCTGTTCCTCCTTGTGATGTCTGCGGATACCGAACGTCTCCTCGAAGTAGGGACGCCGGTAGGACCAAGGACCAAGGACGAACGAAGCACCAGGGAATCTCGATGCACATAAACCTGTTCCTCCTTGTGATGTCTGCGGATACCGAACGTCTCCTCGAAGTAGGGACGCCGGTAGGACCAAGGACCAAGGACGAACGAAGCACCAGGGAATCTCGATGCAGATAAACCTGTTCCTCCTTGTGATGTCTGCGGATACCGAACGTCTCCTCGAAGTAGGGACGCCGGTAGGACCAAGGACCCAGGACGAACGAAGCACCAGGGAATCTCGATGCAGATAAACCTGTTCCTCATTGAGATGTCGGCGGATACCGAACGTCTCCTCGAAGTAGGGACGCCGGTAGGACCAGAGACCAATGACGAACGAAGACCATAGATTACCTCCCTCAAAAAAAAAAAAAAAAAAAAAAAAAAGAAAGAGAGAAAAAAAAAAAAATGGGGAGAAGAGGAGGGTAGCTCCTATACGGAAGGGAATCTTGCCCGGGTGTGCCAGATCTTCCCCCACCGCCGAAGACGAACGCCTCTCGATGTAGAGGTTAGTAGAGACGTGGAGGGGGCTAGACGAACCAAGGGAGCCTGCCAAGATAAACCTGTTTATCCCACAAATGACCATGGATCGATGGACGTGGGATAACGAAGACGGGAACCCGTGAGGGTAAACCCGTTCGTCCCTGCGAGTTCCTTGGGTACTGAACGTCTTCTTCGAAGCAAGAGACGCCGGTAAGACTAAAAGGGCCACGGACGAACGAAGAAAGGGGGAATCTCGATGTAGATAAACCTGTTCTTCCTTGCGATGTCTACGGATACCGCACGTCCCCTCGAAGTAGGGACGCCGGTAGGACCAGGGACCAGGGACGAACGAAGACTAAAAGACTCCAAAAAAAAAAAAAAAAAAAAAAAAAAAAGATGCCAGACGAGCATGGAGCAAAGAATGATTTTTATTCCTCGGCACTATTGGCCGGAAAATTACAATGTATGAGGGGCCTGCTTGGATTTGTCACTTTTAGCGGCTTCCTCCTGCTCCTTCAGCAGCTCAAGGGCCCCTGCATGAGCATCTGCCATCAAGACGTCGAAACCAGCCGCCTCCGGATCGAAGGGAGCCCCAAAGTGACGCTCGAACGTCGGGAGATTCTCCGCTACTAGCCCAACCATACCTTTGCGGTAGGTGTCATCGGCGAGATCGTCAAGGAAACGACGTCCGGTGGGGGTGGCCTGGAGCAATTTAACCCCATCCTGGTAGGCATCCGGGCAGGTGGCCAGGAACTCGCCGACGAGCCGCGGGAGGAACTTCATAGCCATGGTGTGGATGGCGCCGGTATAAGCTTTGGACTTCTGGAAGGCAATGGAACCAGACTCCTTGATTTTGGCAACATCGGCCTCATAAATAGGGACATGATTGTCCACACCCGTCTGGCGAAGCTCCACCTTGGCCTTCTCTACGGCCCACATCCGGCTGCGAAGATCCACGAGCTCGGCCTCCTGCTTCTTAAGGAGCTCCTTCTGAGAGGCATTCTCCTGAACGAGCTTGTCATAGGCATCGGCCTTCTCTTGAAGAGTGCCAGCCCTGCCTTTTGCATTCCTCAGAAGGGCGTCGCATTCGGCCCGCACCCTGGCCATCTCCCTGCCTTGGTGCTCGAAGGCCATCCGGGCCCTGTGAAAGTAGAGCCCGGCCTTGTCCAAGGTGCTCTGGCCGCACTCCAAAAGATCCTCAGGGGCCTCCTGAGCAGCGAAATCCTGCGGGACCTTGAGATTCAGCCCACACCAAATGGGGGACGCCGTCTGACCAAAGAGCATCATAGACTCTTTGCGGGGGCCGACCCCAGAAAACTCGATCAGGCCAAGAGAAGACTCACTGGCTCCTGGAGGAGAGTTCGGACGAACGTCGCCAGAACCTTTGGCGGTTGGGGTATCATCATCCCGGAGACGGCGGACGTCTGAAGTCCTCGGGGGAGAGGCACGGAGATTGGTCCGAGAAGGGCGTTTCCGCTTGAGGGGACTTCCGGGTTCCCCATCAGAGTCGTCGGCCACTATAATAGCCTTGGAGGCAGTACCCTCGACGCGCGGCTTCTTGGAGGCGCCAGCTCCCAAATCATCCTCACCCCGGACCCTGGTCACCCGAGCTTCGACCTTAGGGACGAGCGGCTTCCCGGGCTTATCATGCCCTTTGCGCTCACGGCCGGCGGCAGTCGAGACAGCGTTGACTCGGCCCATGGTGGACGTGGCTAGAAAAACTCCTGCACAAAGGGGATCAAGACGTTCAGAACCATAACAGCGAAGAGATGTTAAAACAATACAAGTACAAACAGACGCACCTAATCCAGCCCGAGCTTTAAAGGGCTCGGCCACCAGCAACCGGAGGTTCTGGATGCCAAGTCCGGCTATGCGCCTGGCATATCCAAGCTCCTCGTCCGTCATAGGCGGCGGGATCGTCTTCACGGGGTAAGCGTTCCACCGACCAGAGAATGGCATCGGTGAGCCTACTCCGGCCAGGAAGAAGCGTTCTTCCCAACCGTCTGGATTCCCAGCATTGTTCGAGAATAGAACCATGGACGGACGGGCGATCAGGGTCAAATACCCCGTGCGTCCGAAGGTGGACAGACGGAAGAAGTGGTGCAGCAGGTCCACGGTGGGGGTCACACCGACGCTGTGGCATCTAATGATGAAGCCAGCGATTATCCGATAGGCGGCAGGGACGAGCTGCGCAGGCACAATCTCAAGGGCCCTGAAAAATGACAAGTGGAAGCTGTGCAGGGGAAAGTTCAGCCCGGCTATCACCGAATCCAGGTGGACCACCACATAGCCGGGCAGATGGCGCATGGGGTTCCGCAGACGCCGATCGTCGTAGGTCCTTGGGGGATAAAACCATTGACTGATCAGTCGCTTGTCAGCGTTCGTCAGGCGTTGAACTTGACGCCGGACGCATGAGAAGCTGAGGCTATAACGGGGAGGCCGGGGTGGCATTCCCCGCTCATAATATTCCAGGTCATCACCGGAAGAACATCCATCGTCAAAGCGACTTTCGGAAGACATGACAACGAACGGTACCTTTGGGGTTCGAGATTTCTGATACGGGTTGAGAGAAGTCTAGAGAGAGAAGACAATTGTGCAGCGTAAGGAGAAATGTGAATGGATCACTTGGACCCTGGGTATTTATAAGCAACACCGCGGGATCGCCCCAACCGAAGCAGGACACGTGGCGCCTGGGTACCGGTACCTACCACGGCATTTAAGGCGTCTCGATTTTGTCGCCGCATAACCACCACAAAGACATCCGGGTCCGTGCCACGAACGTCCCTTGAGGAGGGCTCACCGGCTCGGAGGGGTTTGAAGACATTCGCCTTCCTATACTTCCGTAATTCCCCGGCTGACCCTAGCGTCGGCGGCTGATGAGGACACACGCATCAACCGGCTACGTCCGTCTTGCAGTACACCAGTTTTTCATGCCACGCAACTGTAGACGAACGTCGTCACCGAGCGTTGTTCCAGGGAAATACGCCCATATGTCCATACTCGAGAGGCGTACTGACAAGGCAACTACCGACGAACGTCTTCCCATTGTCAAGATACCGCGTGAGCGGTAAAGATGTGTCGAGGCGCCGGAAGGATTTCTTATACTACAAACGATGGACACAAAAAGGATGAAATAAAAACCACGTCCATTAGGGGTGCACGGAGGATGAACGTCGTCTTTCCACACTTCGTGCCAGGCGAACATGCAGGACAGACGGACACCCTTGCGCGAAGCTTTAGCGTCCATGCCACACGACGATAGAGGAACGTCGTTAGCAGGCATTGAGGCAATCTCCGAAGCGCGTATGACCACGCTTGGAAAGCATGCTGTTTGGCCAACCCCCGACGAACGTCGTCTTGCCATCAGAATGCTGTTGCAGGAGGGGCAGCCAGTATCGGCGCCGGGTGTCACCGTCCGAAGACGGACCTTAACACTGGCGCCGCGCACTAAATGTGTACAGGGTTTTTGGCAAAGAGACGCCCCTGCCCCCAAACTAAATGGGGAACAGAGACGAACGTCCACGCAGACTATGCGACAGAGAATATCGAAACACAAGGGGAGTTTCCATACAACAAAGGACAAAAGGAAGGAAAATAACAAGTAGAAATCATGAACATGGAACAATTATGGGCAAAAAGATGTATATTCTTCGGCTCTAACGGCCGGACATTACAAAAGCATGAACGGAAAAATACAAATTATATTATACAAAGAAAGGGGATTCCGGTCGGCTGCCGCCCTGGTTCGGCTCCTCTTCCTCTTCCTCGGGCTCGGGGGACGGGGGTTCCGGAACTTCCCCCCTAGCCTTGGCCTCCTCCCGCCGTTGGTCTCTCCCCAATTTCCCCAAGGCTTGGAGCAGCAGATCATCGTCTGTATGTGCGGCAAGCTCGAAGCCGGCCCCCTGCAGCCTTGAGAAGATGGGAAGGGTGGCCTTGACCCCCTCATTATAGCCAGCGGCGAAGGAGCTGTCGCCGACCTCGTAGAGGAATTTATGCGACAGGGGGGAGCTCTCCAGGATCCGCACGCCGCTCGCCAAGCGCTGCCGGGGCGGGATCTTTGCCAATGCTGCGGAGAATACGTCACCGAAGGCCCCGGCGCAGTAGTCCCTGGCGGAGTCCATAAACTCCCCGGTGTTCCGATAGCCGGAGGTATCAACCAGCCACTCCGGACTGGCATCCCTTGCAGAAGGATGCACCGGTACAAGCTTGAAGCCAGCTTTCTCAAGGCTGACCAGCTGCTGGCGGGATTCCGCCAGCAGAGCGGCGACCTCTTTCTCCTTGGCCGCCGCCTCCGCCTCCGCTCGACGAGCGGCCTCCCGGGCCGCAGCAACGGCCGCATCAGCTTTAGCCTTGGCCTCCTTCAGATCGGCCTCCCTGGCAGCTTCAGCCTGAAGGACTAGAAGCCCGGACTGGATGACAGAAGAAAAAATAAGGATCAGAGGATGAACGTCAAGGAAGAAATATATATACTCAGATCTAGCAAGGAGGAATTACCTGAAGAGCGGCTGCCAGGGCAGCGCTTGTCGCCTCAGAGGACGAACGGCGGGGCAGCTCGAGACCGGCCTTGAGGGCCATCTCCCTCCAAAGCTCTTCCGCCGGGCGGCTCAATGGTAGAGAGCCGGCATCTTCAAGCAGGGGCCCGGCGGAGCCTGCCTCGCGGCCCCTCTTCTGTCTCTTCTCGGGGACTTTCTCCGTCCCCTTTTGAGGGGCCGCCTTCGACGGGACGACCGGCGGTGGAAGGGCAGCTTCAAGAGCAGGAGCCCCAGAACCCTGAGCCAGCACAGTGGCGATCAGGTGCTGCTCACCCTCGGCAGTTCGCCGGGCAGCGTCAGAAGCCGAGGAGTTGGACTCCGAGGCGGGGGCATTTTTGGCTTTCGCCAGTGCGGCTTTAGCAGCGGCCGCTTTGGCCTTCCTTGTCTTCAAACACTCGGCGTGATTCATCTGATCTCTGTCTGGCGGAGAACCTGCAAGAAACAACAAGGATTAGAAGACGAGCGGGAAATAGAATAAGACACTCACCTCGAAGGACAGGACCGCCGGTGCCCCGAGACGAGCGTCGAAGGGTAGAAAAAGTCCAGGGACACGGGCGGTACCTATGCCTGCCCCGGAGAGTGCCTCGAAGGTCAGATACTCGGCTATTGGACGGACGCCCCCCTCTAACACCTTCTCCACATCCCAGAGTAGATCGCCGGTCGGCTCCGGAGACTCAATCTTTGGGGGATAACCATTCCACCGAACCGGGAGGGGGGGTCCATCGTATCTAAGGAAGAAGAAGCGGTTCTTCCAGTCGTGAATGGACGAAGGGTAATTCTTGAAGAGCTTCCTCCCTGGACGTGCGGCCACGCTCAGATAACCGTCGGAGTTCTGGGGAGTGATGCGGTAGAAGTAGTGGAAAAGCTCCAGGGTGGAAGTGGCTCCCGCTAACTTGCAGCGCACCAGAAAGGCAGATATGAACCTGTAAGAATTTGGCATGAACTGCGCCGGGGCCACCAGGAAACAGTGGAAGAATTCCACATAGAACGAATGAAGTGGGAACCGCAGCCCAGCTTCAACGGAATCCAGGTGAAGCATGATCATCCCCGGGCGTCTCCTCATCACGTGCTCAGCGCCTCTCACGCTCCAGACGAACGGCGGGGGGAAGTGTCACGCCCCGGACCTACCGGACACGTCAACAACCCGCCGTACAGTACGAATAGTCAACCGCAGTCCAACTCATCCATACTATACTAGGCGTCTTGAATACCATTCACACATAGTACATCCATAAACAAACATAATGTAAAATATTCATTTAAAGCAGCGGAAACATTAATACACGTATTCAAGCCACACGTGGCAAACATGGGCATACAAGCCCCCAAATAGTATTCAAAATAATTTCCATGAGCATTATTGTAATTGTTTAAAACAGAAACGGAAGAAGCACGAACCACGTCCTCCTCCTTTGATCTTCCCGAAGCAACGGGCGTGGTAGCAACCTTCAAGTCCTACCTGAAACTGTGAGGTGGCCTCCCCCGTGAAGGGGAGGTCAGTACTTGGAAGCATTTGACAAGTACAATGACAACTATACTAAGTATAATCAACGTTTCAATTTCCAAGACCCTCAAATAGGGTGATATTACAATATAGGTCATAACTCGTGGTTACCCTCTTTACAAATATACTTACTTTATATATAAAGTCAAGTAGTCGGCCGAAGGCTCATGTTTACTTTGAAAACATTTAACCCTTCCCCCGTGACTTCAAGCCACACCCATCTATATCAGTTTACCATGATAGAGGCTTCCTCTAGTCATGTTTTGTCGTGCTAGAGGCTGACTCTAGTCACTACATTCGGTGTTAGAGGCTTCCTCTAATCACCTTACATACTTTGTGCTGGAGGCTTCCTCCAGTCACATTACATTATGCTAGAGGCTTCCTCTAGTCATCTTACACTACGCTAGAGGCTTCCTCTAGTCGTCCTACACGAATGCTGGAGGCTTCCTCCAGTCATTCCTCATCGTGCTAGAGGCTTCCTCTAGTCACGATACTACTCACTAAGCAAATTCTATGCCTAGGTTTTCTCTATCTTGAGTAGCCTATGAGGCCTACTCCTAATGTAATTTAGCGGTTACCCATTCCTACCTTAAGACATCTCATAAGACTACTTAAGGTGCATCCTTCACAATCCAAGCCCTTAGGATTTGTTCTATCACTTTTTACACTAACATTCCCGACTAGTGAATTCAATACTAATCCATTAGTCTTTAAACAACCAAGATCTTTAATTCATTGTTATAAGGCTCATTCCTACGGATTTTCCACTCCGTGTATGATTTAATCTCAATATAAAAATATCACTTTTATCCATTCATGATTTCTATACATGAAGTAAAAGTATATTTTATCACATAAATTCATGGTTTGTACAATCATTATACCATCATATTTGTAATGCATCATCATACACAATTTTCTCATAAACTTGTATGTTATGCATCTTCTATTCACAAACAATAATATTTCCATTTAGGCATTACTAATCATTAATAACCTATGAAAATCACATTTAATTACTCTAGGTAATCTTATGAAATTAACCCAAAGATTATAAACAATATAGTCGGTCATCCTCACCTCAAATGAGCTTTAAAACTTTCCTTCTCGATCCAATGACCAAAGCCTCGGCCAAGAAAGATTGAGGACTGATTCCTTGCTTGGAATTGAGTGTTAAACAGCCTCTTCAAAGTGCTAGTTCAACTCCTAACCGAAGACACAAAAACAGTCCCTAGAACGGGTGTTTCCCGACGAAATCGTTCCCTAACCTTTCAAGGTTTTGTCTAGATTAGTATCTAACTTTTCCAACAATTAAAGTCACTTTATAATAACATTTTATACACTTCAATCAGTGTATAATAGTTCTTCAATCATTTATATGGTTTAGACAATAGAGAGGAAGGTTTTGGATTCAAACTTACTTTGAATACAAAAACGTATTCCGCGAGGTTGTGTTTTTCTCGGACGATTTGAAAGCCTTCCACTACTCCGATTGATGCAAACCAGACCTTCACGGATTCCTCGTCTTGAGAGCTTTCTGTGGGTATCTCGCACGCCTTATTTGGATGTGTATAACTCGAGATATGAAGCAAACAAGTAACCTTACGCACTGGAAAACGAACCTGCGGCAGCTTCCCCTTCCTCTTGCTTTCTTGGTTGTGTGGCTCTCTCTTTCTCCCTTATCCTTGGGAGTTCGAATGAGGGGCTTAAGGGAGTGTCCAAGACCCTTCAATAAGGGTGGATAAGTTGTGTGGAGTGAAATGAATTGGTATGGTCTCCATGAGATGTTTTTAGACATGGGTGGGTCTCACTTTTGATCTCTTTGTCATAAGATGTCTCTTTGTACTCATTCTAATTTATTTGGAACAAGTCAACTCTCTACATCATATTATTGATCTCCAATATGTGTATGATCATCCCAATAATTTACATGATGAATATTATAGAAGAAAAACCCTACTCCCATTATTTAGCTCAATAATGCCAAAGATGGGGTTATAGGCATTTGTATTCTTCTCAAATCATCCTATCACTTATTTTGACATTTGCCATTCATATTATTAGACTACAAGCCGTGTGGGTCGCCCCCGAGTGGGCCTACGACGCCATTCTCGAATACTTGCTATTCTAGCGGGTTGAGCCCAAAATAATATCTGGGCCGCCCGCCCTTCCTCAACTTGTCTTGAAACGTTATGTATTAATATTTAGATAATGTTAGGCTCTTTTATTTATTAATAAGGCCCGATACTTATATACGAGTTCGAACAGTACAATAATCGATCATTAATTACGTAAAACATTAATCGTTTTACAATCGTTTGGGAATCAGAAATCCAATACATAAACTTTGAATTTTAAAATCAAGTTTTCAAGGACGTTCGGGTGCGGTGTCACAAGTTCACCCCCCCTTAACAGGAATTTCGTCCCCGAAATTCACAGCTCTACTCGAATAGGAAAGCATACTGCTTCCTCATCAAAGCCTCTGTTTCCCATGTCTCCCCTTCGACCTGATCGATCTTCCAAAGTACTTTAACCATTGGGACCTCTTTGCTCCTCAGTTTCTTCACTTTTCTATTGGTGACCTTGATTGGTTGCACAACGTAGTTCCCCTCAATGCCCTCAAACAAGTCGACAATGCCCCAGACAACTCTTCCAACTGAGAGCATCTGCTACAACGTTTGCCTTACCTGGATGGTACTCAATAACTAGATGGTAGTCCTTTATCAACTCCATCCACCCTCTCTGTCTCATGTTTTAACTCTTTCTGAGTAAACACATACTTCAAGCTCTTATGATCAGTATATATGTGACATGTCTCTCCGTAGAGATAATGTCTCCAAATTTTCAGTGCAAACACCACTGCTCCCAGCTCTAGATCATGGGTAGGGTAATTCACCTCCTGCTTCTTCAACTGTCGTGAAGCATAGGCATTTACCCTCCCCTCCTGCATCAACACCCATCCAAGCCCTTGGATGCTCGCGTCACTATAGACATCGTACCCCATACCCTGTTTGGGTAATGCAAGTACCGGTGCCTCGGTCAATCTCTCCTTTAGTTCAATGAACCCTTTCTCACATTTGTCATCCCATACAAACTTAGCTCCTTTACGAGTGAGCTTTGTCAATGGTGATGCCAAAACGGAGAATTTCTCCACGAGCTCCCTGTAGTAGCCTGCTAACCCAAGGGAACCACGAATTTCCTTGACGTTCTTTGGTCTCTCCCATTCGGTAATTGCCCCTATCTTCTTATTATCAACAGCAATTCCCGATCCTGAAACCACATGCCCGAGAAAGGCAATTTCCTTTAGCCAAAATTCACATTTAGAAAATTTGGCATAAAGTTGCTTCTCCCGTAGTGTCTCAAGAACGAGTATCAAGTGCTCTTCATGCTCTTTCTTACTCTTTGAGTAAATCAAAATGTCATCTATGAACACAATCACGAATCGATCCAAGGATTTATGGAATACTCGGTTCATCAAGTCCATGAATGCTGTTGGGGCGTTTGTTAACCCAAACGACATAACAAGGAACTCAAAATGTCCATACCTTCTGCGGAAAGCACTCTTTGGTATGTCATCTTCCTTAATCTTCGATTGATGGTACCCCGACCTCAAGTCAATCTTTGAAAACACAGTTGATCCTCGTAGTTGATCAAACAAGTCATCAATCCTAGGCAAAGGATTTCATTCTTGATTGTGACCTTGTTCAATTGACGATAGTCAATGAACATTCGAAGTGTCCTATCTTTCTCTTTCACAAAAGAATCGGTGCTCCCCATGGGGAGTGGCTTGGTCTAATGAAACCGTTATCCAAAAGCTCTTGCAATTGGGTTTTCAACTCGTTAAGTTCAGCGGGTGCCATACGGTATGGTGGTATGGAGATTGGTTTGGTACCCGGCTCGACCTCGATCACAAATTCAATCTCTCTGTCAGGTGGAAGCCCCGGTAGGTCTTTAGGGAAGACATCCGGATACTTACAAACCACCCTCACATCATCGATGTTCGTTTCCTCTTTGGTTTTGTCAACCACGTATGCTAGATATGCGTGGCATCCCTTTCTCATCATACTTCTCGCTCTCACGGCGGATATGATACAGCTATTTGATCTCCCTCGATCGCCCTCGAAGCGTAGGGTCTCCCCATCATTGCCTTCGAGTTCAAGAACCTTCGTGTAGCAATCTACCCTAGCATGGTTCCTTTCTAGCCAATCCATCCCTAGGATTGCATCGAATTCAATCATGCCCAGCGGTACGAAGTCACACGTCAAGGCTTGACCATTAACCTCCACCCCACAAGATGGATAATAACAAGTTCTTTCCACGTCATCTCCTAGTGGTGTTGATACCACTAAGGTTTGCATCAATGGTGCGGATTGCACCCCCAACCTCTTGGCGAACGCTTCATTCACAAATGAACGTTGCGCCCCGGTATCGATAAGGATTCGCGCATCCTTCCCATTAATCTTTAGTGTCCCTACACTTATGAACCATGTAAGACATTTTTCCTACCATTCCTATACATTTAGAGAGGTTTATTATGTTCACACACGTGTTTGGGATCAAGAGCCGGTCTTAACGTTGCAATACGGCGCGGAAAAGTCGACTTTGGGCTGCCCAGGAGGTACGCACGGCGTGCCTAGGAGGTACGCACGGCGTGCGTGTCTTATAACCTCAAAACGGAGCTACTGCCACCAACGCACGGACCAACGCACGGACAACGCACGTCCGTGCGTATAGCAATTTCTTCCCGGTTACTACTGCCACCAACGCACGGACCAACGCACGGAAAACGCACGGCCGTGCGTATAGCAATTTCTTCCCGGGTTGCTACTGCCACCAACGCACGGACCAACGCACGGACAACGCACGGCCGTGCGTATGGTCCAGCCTGGTGTGCGTTGGCGGAAATCAGCCGTCTTTCGCCCGATTTCGCTCCGTTTGACCCCAAAGCTTCGTGCAATGATCCCAACGACTAGCAACCTCAATTTATGGACTAATCAAGGGTAAAACATAAGTATACAAAAGGTAATACCTGCAACGGAATCCGGGTTCGCTTGAGCATCCGCCTCCGTCATCGCATAGACTCTAGCTTGAGTCCTTCCTTGGTTCACGGAGGGTGCGTTGCTTGTACTTGCCCCGCCGTGGCCCGCACTTGCATTTGGTGCCCCACCCCGGTTTCTACTCACCGTGGTTGCCACGTTTGGTCCTGATGACCGGTTCCCACCAAGTTGAGGGCAATTAGGCCTTATGTGCCCCGTATCTCCGCATTGGTAGCACCGTGGGGGATCACGACATTTGCCTTCGTGATTTCTCTTGCAATTCCTGCACTTAGGCTTCGTCGAGGCTTGTAACCCCGAGTTTTGCCCCCCCATGTTGGGATTCCCCCTTGATGGTGGTGCGGGTGCCCTGAAGGATCCTCCTCCCCCGTGATTCCCCTTCTTGTTTGAACCCTGGGGGCCATGGTTCTCCCATTTCCTTTTCTTTGCCTCCTCGGCGTTTCTTCGCTTTCTTTCCTCCCACTCTTTTTCTCCCTTCAAGCCTTGTTCAACCACTTGACTAAACGTCATATTAGGCAATTGTGTTGCCCTCTCACGTATGTCAAGGTCCAAGGCATCCCAGAAATGGTTCACCATCCGATTTTCATCACAAATGTACTCCGGTATGAACTCAGCAAGCTTTCTGAACTTGTGTTCAAGTTCCTTCACCGTGCATTCCCCTCCTTGGGTCAAATTCGTGTACTCTCTCCTCTTCAAGTTCACCTCGAATTCGGAGTAGTATTGGCTAAAGAATTCTTGCCTGAAGTTCTCCCAAGTGACCGCCTCACCGTACTTCCCTTTGACACCGTCCCACCACGTGGACGCCATTCCTTCTAGCAATCTTGTTGCCACTCTCATCTTCATATGGGGTGGCAGCTGCATATCAAGGGCCGCTTCATTGAATCTCTTGATCCACTCGGCCGCCACGGAGATGTCTTGTAAGGAATAAATGTAATTAGATTTTGATGATGCTATAGGATTAGAAAGTTAAAGTACCCCAATTAGACTTTATGTATTAGAATTTTCAATTGTAAGTATTAGTGTAGTCGACGATCAGAGTTGCTCTATTTTGGATCAGATCAGAAGTACATCAGAACTGCTCGACCAGACTTGCTCTATGAGAACTGCTCCATCAGAGTTCTCTTAGCAGAAGTCCATCAGAGTTGCACTATGAGAGTTGCTGATAAACTTGGACATCTGATAACCGATGAGAACTACAGATCAGAGGTACTCATCAGCGGACCTATCAGAGTCAGAGTTAGAGTTCTATCAGAGATCAGAAAGCCATCAGAACTCAACGCATCAGAAGGCCATCAGAATCCAACACGTCAGAAGAGCCTGATCAGAGCCCGACTAACACTTAGAAGATTTCAAGCAACATCCAACAGCTATGAGTTCAACGGGTAAAAACATCCAACGGCTAGAAGACTGTGCATGAAAGGAAAGCATTTAATGCACATTAAATGAGCCTGATACGCTGAAGGATTGATTGCAAATGATTGACCAAGAAATCCGGGAAGATATATTATAAAAATAGAAACCTTCCAAAACGGCGGTCAAGTCAACAGTACGCGCATTTAATGCAGTTGTCTCCTCCTCCAACGGGTAGACAACCTCAGTATATAAGCTACACACCGAAGAACAGAAAAATAACTTTGCAACTTTGCTACAACTTTTGCTCATCTAACTCAAGCTCTCTTGAGACTCAAATCCTACAATCCTCAACAAGACAAGCTTACGTTGGGAAGATTCCAATATCTATAATCTTTCATCCCCAACAACGAGCAAAGTTCATCCTGTTCTTCAACTCTTCAAGAACTTCATCAAACATCATTTGTAACGAAGCAAGTTGGAGGAAAAACTCTGTTTTTTCAAAGGATCTTCTGAAAAGAAGGGCGTCCAAGTAACTGCAGTAGTGAAGTGGTGATACTTCCGGGAAGCTGAGTGAAAGGACCAGCCATCAGGACGTGGAATTGCATCCTGGGTGGCATCTAGGCTTGAAGAAGACGAGGAGTGCTTCTTAAGTGCTAGGAGTTAGCTTTGTAACTGATCTACTTCAAAGCTAGTGGAACAGTGGACTAGAGGAACGAGTTGTTCCTTGAACCACTATAAAATATCCGGTGTCACTTACTTTACTGCAATTTACATTTCTGCACTTAGGATATTAACTGATTAACTCTAAGACTTGGAATCTGTGTTCAGCAGATCTTGTTTTAAGAGTTATCAGAAAAGCATTTGCCTTAGTGTTTCTGAGGCTACCCGGACAGATCAGAATCCGCTGCCAAGGCCAGTTCTGATATCAGAACCAGCCTTTCTCTGTCACCAGATTTAGACCTTCTCTGATAAGTCACTTTGGACTTAGAGAAAAGTTGAAAAATCAATCAGTCTATTCACCCCCCCCCCCCCTCTAGACTGATTACCATATTAAACGGGACCAACAAGTGGTATCAGAGCCTCCTTGTTCTTGTAATCTTTTAGGTTACACCTTGAACAAAGATCCACTTGTTCTTAGCCTCTATTTATTTATTATTATGGATAACTCTCTTGCAAAGCATCTTATGTTCACAGATCAGAAATATGATGACTGGAAGATCAGAATGAAAGCACACCTCTGCGCTCTTCATGACGAAATGTGGGAAGTCCTTGAAGAAGGACCTTTCACCAAATTTATGAAGGTGAATACTGAGCATACTATTGACAGGACTCAGCCTGAGATGATTGAGAAAGCCAGATCAGAATGGACAAAGGAAGAGAGGAGACAGTACAATCTTGACAATATTGCCAAAGATATCCTCTACAAAGCCATTGACAACAGATACTTCAACAGAATCAAGAAGTGTCGAACTGCCAAAGAAATATGGGACAAACTTGATCTCATAGGAGCAGGTGATGAACAAGAGAGAGACAACAAACTGACAATAGCTATGAAGAAGTTTGATGACTTCAAACTTCTACCTGAGGAATGCATAGCTGAGATGCATGCCAGACTTCTGATTCTTACCAGTGAGATATCCGAGCTTGGGAAGGAGCTCACAGTTAAAGAAGTCAACCTGAAGATTCTCAGAGGACTGCCCCCAGTCTGGAAGATGAAGGTTATTGCTGTCCAAGAAAGCAAGGACATCAAAACCTATCCCACAGAGAAACTAATATCTGATCTCAAAGCTTATGAGTTTGAGATGCATGATGAAAAAGAAGAAGTGCCAGATGAGAGAACCACAACTGCTCTTACTGCCAGCACTTCTAAGGCTACAAACTTTGATCCCTCAACTCTTCTATCTGATGAATATATGGCTGCCTTTGCCAGAAAATTCAGAAAATTTATGAAGAAAGATGGAAAGAGTCCATCTTCCATCAGAAGACCACATCAGAAGACCAAATCTTCTGAAAGCAATGGAGAGTACCTCTGCTACAACTGCAGACAGCCTGGGCACTTCAAAGCAAACTGCCCCTACCCCAGAGTGTCCAAGAAGCAAGGACACGAAGAAGAAAAGAAACCAGATGATCAACATAGAAGGAGAAGAGCTTTTGTCTCAGAACAAGCTGAGAGAGATCCACTTTCTGAATCAGAGTCCAGTTCAGACTCCGACTCTGATGAAGCATTCT